CTGAAGGAATGGCCACCCGGTCCTTGCCCTAAGTTTCTCTCTTATATTGTAGATGCTATCTTTCTTGGGTGGAGCACTCTTAGAAGTCCAGCATCAGCCTGGGGGAAATGCCAAGAGTCCCACCCTCCAGGCTCCCTGTTCAACACAGCAAAGATCACGTCCTGCAGAGGAGTCGGCTGCTTGGGCCTTGAGTGTAGAGGTCCAGACAGGTTCAGGGGGTGTTAGTGACTGAGTTGTGTGGCTCTGGGGTGGGGGCCACACACCTTACCTTCCCCCAAGACTGACCATTGCCTCCCTTTCACAGGAGAGGCAGAATCTGGGACAGACAGGGTTATGTGGCTCTAAGATGGTGTCAGTTTTTCCCCTCACACGCCCAAGCAGTGCAGAGCCCTTCACACAGCCAAGTCTTAGTCTGTTTGTGCCTGATAAACTCTGCTGCCTCCCCCTGACGACTCCCTGAAACCCTGCTCCACCACAAAGGTCTGCAGGCACCCAGCAGCTGGCGGCTAGCCTTAGTGTACCCCGGGACTTTAGTGAGTGGCCTCAGATCCAGCACTGACCCCGCCTGTTTCGGTGATAAACACCACTCACCCCTCCTCCCTGGTGACTCACTAAGGACCTACATCATTCAACCCAGTACTGCCGGAGGCTCTCTTAGTGACGGACCTAACGGGCAGCCAGAAGGCAGAGGCAAATCTCAGAGTGCCTTGTACCTTTTACTGACCTGCCCCCAGGCTCAGTGCTACTGAATGCCAGCCTTGGTGCACAACTTGGTCCTACACACGCCCAGGCGCTGCAGAGGCAGCCACAAGCTGTGGGTTGTTTTAAAACTCCAAACAGGTTGCCTAGGGCCAGTCACAGGCAGCATCTGACACTGACCTGCACCAGAGTCCCTCCCATGAGCCACCAGAACCAACTAGTGGCAAACATCAAACAACTCCAGAGCAGGATCCAATTACCTTCCCAAGGGGCACCAGACCCTGCTGAGGAGAATTCTGCTTCGTGTGGTCAACTCCTGCACAGCAGCTCATACACTGTGGTCGGGGTCAATCCTCACGGTTAGCCAGCTTGAGGGTCAGCCCCACACGTGAACAGGCAAATCAGAATTAAGACTCAGTTACAATAGGAGGGCTCCTATAACCCACACAGGGACATTCCTGGAGCACCCAGCTCCAGTGGTCAAGGAGACGGTGCCACTGGGTCACACCTACTACGTAAGACACCCTGTGAAGACTGGGAGACATAGCAGATCTTCCTAATACACGGAGACAAACACTAAGAGGTAGCCAAAATGGGGAGACAAAGAAACATGCCCCAAATGAAAGGACAGGAGAAATATCCAGAAAAAACCCAAATGAAATGGAAGCAAACAATCTACCAGATACAGAGTACAAAACAGTGGTTATAAAGATGCTCAAGAGGCACCTGTCTTGCCCAGCCAGCTGGCCAGGCTCCCCTTTCCGGAGGAGGCAGAGAGGGGAGCGCTGGGCCGGCCTGTGGGCAGGCGATGATGCCGAGCTTCTGCACGGCCCCCAACTGCACACTGAAGAGCATGCAGTCGGATTTGGCCGCCTTCAGGTTCCCGAGGGATCCGGCCAAATGCCAGAAGTGGGTGGAAAATTGTAGGAGAACAGACTTAGAAGATAAAACACCTCATCAACTAAATAAACATTATCGATATGTGCCAGACACTTTGAGACTTCTGTAATTTGTAGAACTAGTCCTTACAGGACAGTTCTTCAAGGCAATGCAATACCAACAATATTTGATCTTACCAGTCATTTGAACAATCCACAAAATAGACACAGAAAACAAATAAAAGAATTGAGTGAAGATGAAATCAGGACACTGAAACAGAAAAATAATGAGGAGGCATGGACTCCCGGCAAAAAAAGAGGGAAGGATATTGTGTGTAGAAGTAGAGTGGCTTGAAACAGGGTGCCAGGTTTGAGGAACTACATTCATTTTGTTGTTGGAGCTTTTAAAACCCATGATGTTGACAAAACTTCTGAACAGGAACAAAAACATAAAGAAATCTACAACAGCAATGCTCAGAACTCCAGTGCAGAAGAGGGTGGAGAACAGGATGAAGACATTTTACCTTTAACCCTTGAAGAGAAGCAAAACTCAAAATACTTAAAATCTTTATTTGAGGTTTTGATTCTTACGGGAAAACAAAGCATACCTCTATGGACACGAAGCTGATGAAATCCCAGAAGGTCTCTTTACTCTTGATAACTTTCAGGCACTGTTGGAGTGCCGGATAAGTTCTGGGGAAGAGGTTCTGAGAAAGCGCTTTGAGACAACAGCAGTCCACACGCTGCTAGAGATCTGTGAGAGCTGCGTGCGGGAAGAAACACTCAGGGAAGTGAGAGACTCGCACTTCTTTTCGATTATCACTGACGACGTAGTGGACATAGCAGGGGAAGAGCACCTGCCTGTGTTGGTGAGGTTTGTTGACGAAGCTCATAACCTGCGAGAGGAATTTGTGGGTTTCCTGCCTTATGAAGCTGATGCCGAAATTTTGGCTATGAAATTTCACACTACGATAACTGAGAAATGGGGATTCAACATGAAATGTTGTTGTGGCCAGGCTTACATTGTGTCCAGTGGATTTTCTTCCAAAATGAAAGTTGTTGCTTCTAGACTTTTGGAGAAATATCCCCAAGCTGTCTACACACTCTGTTCTTTCTGTGCCTTAAATGTGTGGTTGGCAAAACCGGTGCCTGTTATGAGAGTGTCTGTTAGGAACAATTGAGGAAGTTCTTTTTTCCATCGATCACCACAACTGCTTTTAGAGCTTGACAGTGTAATTTCTCTCCTCTTTCAAAACAATGAAGAAAGGGGTAAAGAACTGAAAGAAATTTGCCATTCTCGGTGGTCAGGCAGGCATGATGCTTTTGCAATTTTAGTGGACCTCCTACAAGCACTTGTTTTATGTTTAGATGGTATAAGTCATGATACAAATATTAGATGGAGTAACTATATAGCGAGCTGAGTATTTGTACTCTGTAGTGCAGTAGATTTTGATGATTTCGTTGTTACCATTGTCGTTCTTAAAAATGTTCTATCTTTTATAAGAGCTTTTGGGGAAAATCTCGAGGGGCAGACTTCTGATGTTTTCTTTGCAGCCAGTAGCTTGACTGTGGTGCTGCATTCGCTAAATGAAGTGATGGGAAATATTGAAGTTTATCGTGAATTTTGGTTTGAGGAAGCCACCAACTTGGCAACCAAACCTCATATCCAGATGAAGCTCCCTGGGAAATTCCACGGAGCTCAGCAAGGGAACCCGGAGTCTCAGCTGACCTCTGAGGGTTACTAGAAAGAAGCTCTAAGTGTTCCAACAGTGGAGCACATTATCCAGGAACTGAAAGATATATTCTCAGAACAGCACCTCAAAGCTCTTAAATGCTTATCTCTGGTCCCCTCTGTCATGGGACAGCTCAAATTCAGTACATCAGAGGCGCACCATGCTGACGTGTCCAGACACAACTTACCCAGTCCTGATACACTCTCAGCTGAGCTGCATTGTGGGAGAATCAAGTGGAAACACAGAGGAGAAGATAGAGAGCCTCCACCCACCATTTATGAAGCCCTCCACCTGCCAGACATCAAGGTTTTCCCTAGTGTTTATGCACCACTGAAGGTCCCGTGTATTCTCCCTGTGATGAAGGTTGAGAATGAACGCTATGAAAATGGGCGAAAGCGTCTCAAAGCATACCTGAGGAACACTTTGACAGACCAAAGGTCAAGTAACTTAGCTTTGCTTAACATAAACTTTGATATAAAACATGATTTGGATTTAATGGTGGACACATATATCAAATTCTGTACAACTAAGTCAGAGCTTCCTACAGATAATTCCAAAACTATCGAAAATACCTGAGAGACTATTGAAATAGGTTTTCTCTTATATTGGATATTGAAAAAAAAATCTAAGAAATTTGAAAACATAGAAAAGCTATAAGGTATATGTAGGCCACTTAATCACTGGATATCTTGAGTGCATTAGCCATTGGTGATCTGACGGTTTAAATGGCCCGTGTGAACTCTCATGCTTGGAGAACTGTCTTCCAGAGGGTGGCGTTGAAAGTGCCACACTGCACTTCTACGTGATGTCTGCTAACGTCATTTTAGACATAACATTTATTATCACTGTGGATCCCGTTGGCGGGTATTGAGTTATCAGTTATTCGAAGAAATAAATTTTGAGGAGGTGTGGGAGGAATGTGTTTCATAAAACTTTACGATGAAGTGCATGACTAACCTTTGAATGGCAGGAGTTTTAAGAATACTACAGTGGGGCCTTGACTTACGAGTGTCCCGACTAACGAGTTTTTCGAGATACAAGCCGTCTCTCTCTCTCTCTCTCTCTCTCTCTCTCTCGGCCGATTTTTTGCTTTGAGTTGCGAGCTAAAATTCGGGTTATGAGCCAGCTTCAGATACCACACCGCTAGTTGGCGCAACGAATGTCACAGTGAACGCCACAACATCAGCCCAGCATCACGTGTCTCACTCGTTCACTTTTGATTTGACATACGAGTAATTTGAGTTACGAGCTCCGTCACGGAACGAATTAAACTCGTAAGCCAAGGCCCCACTGTATTAGAAATCTGTAATGGACAGTTAAGGGAATTGCCAGATAGTGAAAGAAACGTGAGCTTGCCAAACAAGGATTTCAGTGTAGATTTTGTCTTTATTCAATGATCTTAAAGGAACAAGTTACTGTTAAACATTGAAGGAAGAACCTGCCATTGTTCTACATCTGGGTGTTGCTGTTTACATTCCTTTGTTGAGCCTATATCTTCATAAGCTTTTTAGCAAGTATATGTCAAACACTTCTGTTTCATGGTCAAGGCAGGATCAGGGGTCATGGGTACTGACAACAGATTGGTCTGTTTTATCCTGTCTTTTTCCATGACTGTATCTACTGCCTCGTCTTGATTTATTTTTTTATTTTTATTTTTTTTAGAAGAAAAAAACAACACAGTACATGTGTATATATTTTCAAACATATTCTAGTTTAAAACATTACAAAGCTGGTGCTTGTCAAATTCTTAAGTGCCCACATTGACAAATCCTAATAGATAATAACGTGTGTGGTAAAGTTTTTAAGTTCAAGAGGAACCTGGAAGTCTTTCATTATTTTGGCAAATCCCAAAGACATACATTTTATTGGCATATACTCTGCGTAGGTTTCTGCATGGCCCATTTCTTCTTCATCCTCTTCCTCCGGTTCATCTTCCTCTTTTACAACAGGAACCTTCATGGTCGGGGAAAAACTCCTCATCTTCATGTCATTTACCCATATTCTTGCTACCTCTTTATTAGAAGACTCCTTCTTTACTGGGCCGTTGCTTACATCAGTAGCTGCTGTTGCAACTGGCTGAGTGATATTAGCTGGTGGCTTCAGTTTCATGAGTTCATTCAGACTATTATTTTTCAGAAGGTCCTTCAGTTGAACCTGGTCTTTTGAAGGTGCAGAGGTCACGGCATTTCGTACTGCTGGTACTGAGACCGAAGGGCGTGTGTTTGCAGAGGTCTGGATAAACTTTGCTAAAGTGATGGTTTGCCTATTCGTTGTTACAGGTGGTGTTTTAGTCATTACAATTGTAGATCCCAAGGTCGGAAGTTGATTTATTTGATTCAGCACAAATGTTGTTGTAGACGGAGGCTGCCTAACATTTAACAGTGCTGGAGTAGGTACCGTCTCTGGTTCTTGTTTAACAGGAACTGCTGCTTCAGTCTCCAAACCTAGTTCTAATGTACTAAGTGGCACTGACTGGTGAACTGAAGGGGTAGGTGTTGGAGCTGCAAGCCCCGCATCTCCACCATCAATATCAAAGAGGTCATTCGGACTAATTCCACTCTCACTCAAAGCAGCAAGCAGTAAATCTTGTCCTGGCTCCACCATTTTTCCTTGCGGGATGCGATGCCGGTACACCTTCTCCCGGGCGGCGAGAGTTTGGAGAACCACAGGCGACGGGAGCGGAGGCGGCGGCGGCGGCGGCGTCTCTCATCTTGATTTATAAGCAAAACCTAGAAAACCTACAAAAAATGTGTTTTGTCGTTTATCTAGGAATAACACAGAAAATATTCTATTATTTTTGGTGAAGAAAGTCAATTTTGTACAGTTTATTTTGACATAAATAAAATGTGAATTTGTTTTTTAAAAAAAAGATGTTCAAGAAACTTAGTGAGAACTTCAACAGCATGAAAAAGGACATAGAAACCATAAAAAAGGACCAGTGAGAAATGATTAATACAAAAATGTGAAATGAAGAATATAGTATAAGAAATAAACAGTCAGCCCTAACCGGTTTGGCTCAGTGGAGTGAGTGTCAGCCTGCAGACTAATAGGTCCCAGGGTTCGATTCCAGTAAGGGCATGTACCTTGGTTGCGGGCACATCCCCAATGGGAGGTGTGCAGGAGGCAGCTAATCGATGTTTCTCTCCCATTGATGTTTCTAACTCTCTATCCCTCTCCCTTCCTCTCTGTAAAAAATCAATAAAATATATTTTTAAAAAAAGAAGAAGAAAGAAACAGTCAGTTATGTGAAGTAGAGGTTTGAATCAGCAATTTGGAAGACAAGGTAGCAGAAACTATCCAATCAGTGCAGCAAAAAGAAAAGAATTTAAAAGATAAAAATGAGGATACTTTAAGGAAATTTTGGTACAACATGAAATATAATAACATCTGCATCATAGGGGTACCTAAAGGAAAAGTGAAAGAACAAGGGTTTGAGAAACCTATTTGAAAAAATAATAAGTGAAAACTTCCCTAATCTGGAGAAGGTAAACAAAACATAAGTCCAGGAAGTGTAGAGTCCCAAACAAGACCAATCCAAAGAGGCCCACACCAAGACCCATCATAATTAAAATGGCAAAGATTAGAGACAAAGAGAGAATATTAAAAGCTGCAAGAGAAAGGCAGTTAGTTACCTATAAGGGAGCTTCCATAAGATTGTCAGTTGATTTCTCAACAGAAACATTTCAAGCCAGAAGGAATTGGTACGAAATAGTCAAAGTGATAAAAATCAAGGATCTACAACCAAGACTATGTTACCCAGCAAGGCTATCATTTAACATTGAAGGAGAAATAAATAGCTTCCTAGACAAGAAAATGCTGAAGGAGTTTATTACCATTAAATCATTTTACCCATGTTGATCAGGTCCCTCTCTGCATTTGTTTTTTTAGGGTAAAATTGCCCTTCACAGTGGATGAGATTGCCAGCTTTGGGGAGGGTAGCAGGGAGCTGTTTGTGAGGTCCAGTACCTACAGCCTCATCTCCATCACCGTGGCCGAGACCGGCCTCACCATCAGCTGGGTCTTCTCCTCCGACCCCAAGAGTATCTCCTTCAGTGTGGTCTTCAGGGAGGCAGAGGCCACTCCGCTGGATCAGTGCAAGGTAAGGAGGCCAGCTCCCTGCCAGCGGGCGCAGGCTCACATCAGGACGCCTGGCCAGGCCCTCCCTACAGCAGGGCCACGGCCGTCCTGCCTTCTGCTGGGCAGGCCTTTCTTGAAATGTTCCGGGCCCCAGCTGTGAGAGGGACACGGAGAGAAACCAGGGTGGGAGAGCCCTCTGGCTGCATCCCAGAGCAGGCACGGCACCTGGGCTTGTCCAGCTTGGGGAAGGAGAGACCTGAAGCTCAGGAGAGCCGTCTTCAAATGTCTGGAGGTCACTCCTTTGTCAGACAGCTTCAGTCTGACCTTCAGATAGATCGGTAGTTGAAACGTTGAGGAATGCAGACGGATGGCTCAATGTAAGGATTATTTTTTAACAGAGTCGTGCAGAGCAAGAAGTATCACTGTGAGAGATCACCATCTCCCGAGATCCCTACATCTCACCACAAAACAGCCACTGTCACTTGGGTTGGTTGGGCTTGAAATCTTCACGCCAGAGACCAGTTCATACGCTCCTGAGACATCCTAAGCTTACAATATTGACGGTGGTCTGGACCACTGTTCTCAACCGGGACCTCACGTTAGAAACACCTGGGGAGCGTCTTTAAACCCTCCGCCAAGGCCACTCCCCAGACCACGAAGTGAGGTCCTCGTGTGTCAGGGGCACAGACATCCCTAGTGATTGCAGTGAGCGGCCAGGTTGAGGGCCACGGGGCTGGATCAAGGGGAGGAAGTCAGAGTGCAGAGGGTGGGTGGAATTTGGGACACGAGCAGGTGAACAGGACCCGTGGTGGCGATTGAATGTGGGGTGAGGAAGAAGGTCAGAATCCATGCCTGTTCCTCTGCAGGGACAGGGTGCAGGGGACAATGGATGAGAGCTGGTTTGGGTAAAAACCCCAGTTCTGTTTGAAGCACTGAGTGGAGGGAATGGTGAGGACAGTCGGCCACGCTGAATGGGAGCTGGGGTGGATCCCGGGCCTTAATATGGTTGCCAAATCTCCATTTTCCAAAATTGCAAGAAACAGGATAGAGAAGAGCAATTTGGGGTGCCCTGAGGGGCTCGGGGTAGGGGTGGGAAGGCCCCCGAGCTGAAGGCAGCCTCGTTCATTCTTATCTGAACACTGCTCTGCCCTCTCATCATTTTGGGGGCTGACAGCCATGCTACCTACCTGGCTTTGGGGCACTTCCTTCCTGAGAGGTGGCGATGCCCCAGCCCGGAGGTCCTGGAGCTTGTGGTCTGAGAGTGGACCCAGGGCCACCTGCCGACTGGGCACCCGGAGGGTGGTGCCTCGCTCTGTGGGGCAGGTCTTCGTCCGGTTTGCAGATAAGCAAGCTGAGGTGCGTAGTGACTTGCCTGTGTGGTTGGTTGAGCAGCAGTGATACCGATGCACTTACCAGCTCCGCTCTGACCCTTCTGCACAGCCAAGAGCTTATACCAGCACCTTTGCTGTTAACCCTCCCTGTCCCCAAACCCACCGAGCGCCTAGCACTGCAACCACCCAGATTAACACTGTGGGTGTTTGTGGCCCGGAGGGAGGAGGTGACTAAATCAGATGTCCAGACCTTTGCCATTCCACCTGCCCACATGTGGCTGAGCCCGGGGTCTCTCCCCTTCCCAGTCACTCACCTGCCACACCTGTGTGGTTCTTACCAGGAATCACGCCTCCTCTCTGGCTTCCAGGTGCCTTCCTGGGTTATGACCACCATTGTCTTTCCTACAGTGGACGCCAGGGGGCAGAAGAAGCCCATCTACGGGGGGAATGAGCTGGGTGCTCAGTTGCTACTCTGCCTTCACAGGCCCCTGTCCCCAGCCAGCTGTAGGTGGAGGTGGTTATTTCTGTCTGAGGTCCCCAAACAAACAGATGTCACCCTGGGGAAGGTCCGGCACACGTCCTCAGCATCTGTCCTGGGGACCCCCCTGTGTGGCCCCCTGACAGCCTGGGTCTTACGAGAAACAACGGGTGCAGTGTGATTGTGGAGGTGCAGACACAGGAAGTGTGCGCATGCTTGCAGTCTGTTCACAACCATTTATTGAGCTTCTGCTCTGTACCGGGCTCTGTGGGGCCCGTGGGATCTGCCCTTGAAGAGCTCACAATAGAACCAGAGCCCTAGTGAAAAGGCAGCCATGATTCACAGGGTGAGTGTCATAATCAGAGGGAGTGGGCACTGTGGTCACCTAACCCAGCCTGGGGGCCAGTGATTGGGGCAGGAGACCCTGGGCCAAACCAAGAGAAGCATATGGGGCCATGGGTTAGAGAAGAAGTGTCCAGGCAGGAGCAGCACAGCAGAAGGCCGGCCCCGACTCTGGTGGCACCGGTCAGAGACACACACCCCTTGCCACACCCTCTCCAGGGTGACTTCCTCCATGCCTGGACACCGAGCTAGAGTCTGAATTTGGGAAGGCACTTGTTAAAGAAACAGTACACCAGGAACTCAAGGCTACCCTTGTGAGGACCCAGGCTTGGCCAGAGAAGCTCGATGGCCACCTAGGGCCACAGAGGGAGTCAGGGGAGGAACCGGGACTGGGAACAGGACCTTTAAATTCTTACTTTTTAAAAATATATATTTTTTTATTGATTTCAGAGAGGAAGGGAGGAGAGATAGAAACATCAATGATGGAGAGAGAAACATTGATCGCTTGCTTCCTGCACCACCTCCCCCCACCACCCACCCCAAATACACTGGGGATTGAGCCTGCAACCCGAGCATGTGTCCTGACTGGGAATCGAACCGTGACCTCCTGGTTCATAGGTAGATGCTCAACCACTGAGCCACGCCAGTCAGGCTAACGTCTTACTTTTTAAATAGCTTTATCGAGATATCACTCACCATTTAATGGGTACAAGTCATTGGGGTTTTGTTTTGTTTTGTTTTTAGGTTTATTCACTAAGTTTTGCAACTACCACCACTGTCTACTCTGATACCATTTTTATCACATCCCCCAAAAATATGGACCCACTAGCAGTTCTAACCTCTACCCAGCAGCCACCAGCTCATTCTCACTATGGGCTTGCCTATGCTGGACATTTCATGTGAATGGAATCAGACAGTATGTGGCCTTTTTAACTGGCTTTTTCCATTTAGCATAGAACCTCGCTTTGAACCAGGACCCCACGACACCGGAGCCCATAGGAAGATCAGCTAAACCAACGTGGACTGTTTTACAGACACATCAGCTACACCAGGGCATGGCCACTCAGGCATGGAGGCCAAGGAGGTGTCCCCAGACATCACCGCCGAGCCGTCTCCGGTTTATGCCATTATCGTCCCGTCACCTCAACTGCATGAGCTCTGACACCAGAGCAGTTATGAATCTCCCCTAGACGTCTTGATGTATTTATTTAAAGTAATGAAGAGTCTTATTTTAAATGTATCCTCTTCAGAGGACCTGCCTTAATGAGCCCTTGGTTGTTGCTTTGTCATCAAGGCTGTGACTGTAGGTAGAAGATGCAGGGCGCACAGGTGACCCTGTAGAAAGGGCAGCCCTTCTGCCCAGCAGCTCCTTCCTACCTGTGCTTGCAGGAGGCCTCAGGCCAGGCTCAGAAGTTTTAGGTCATGGACCACATCCATGAACTAACCACCCCAACCACTCGGCTCCCCGGAA